TACACCACTGCACTCCAGCCTGGGCAACACAGTGAGACTGTCTCAAAAACAAAAAACAAAACAAAGAAAAAAACGAATGTTGTAGCTATTTTATTTTACTTTTTGAGACGGAGTTTCACTCTTGTTGCCCAGGCTGGAGTGCAATGGTGCGACCTCGGCTCACTGCAGTCTCTGCCTCCTGGGTTCAAGCAATTCTCCTGACTCAGCCTCCGGAGTAGCTGGGATTACAGGCGCCTGCCACCACACCCAGCTAATTTTTTGTATTTTAGTAGAGAGGGGTTCACATGTAAGGAAAATATTTTCTATAGAAAACGAGTTTTCTGCTTGTGGTCTAGAAAAGGGAGGCCAAAGAGCTAGAATTTGATAGGGTTATCCAGTTTGTCCAAGAAAGAGAAATACTTTTCTTTTTTTAAAACAGAGTCTCACTGTGTTGCCCAGGCTGGACAGTACAGTGGTGCGATCTCAGCTCATCACAACCTCTGCCTCTTGGGTTCATGCAATTTTCCTGCCTCAGCCTCCCGAGTAGCTGGGATTACAGGTGCACCCCACCATGCCCAGCTAATTTTTATACTTTTAGTAGAGATGGGGTTTCAGCATGTTGGCCAGGCTGGTCTCGAACTCCTGACCTCATTCCCTCTGATTCCTTGCTCACCAATAAGCCTTCTAATTTGAAGTTTAACTTCTTAGGTATCGTTTTCCCAGGAAAAGAGTATCATGAACAGTAGAGATGAATACACACTGAAAAAGTAGACCTCCCTTTGTAAATTAATAACTTGGGGTTCTGGTTTTAAAACTTACTGGTATGGGTTTAACTAGTGTGAATTTGTGCCAAAGGACCTGGTTATATCCAGGTTCACTGACAAACTAAGCTCTCAGACTTGTAAAGGGGAGACTAGACCCCTGACCACAGATTCCACCAAGGTATCTGGGGAAGCCTCTATCTACTTAAAGACTGATCAAACTCATTTAGACCAATGACTTAAGGAAAAAACAACTGTAGACTCAAACTGTAATCAGGGCCACAGCTACTATACCTCAGTATGGAATAGATCTTACTACTGTCCAAGTTTATAAATAAGAAAAATACCATTAAATAGATATGTGCAAGCTGCCATCTTGGTGAAAACTGTCATGCAGTTTGGATGGGGGAGGAGAGAAGGGCTACTAGGGTTTGAATGTAACAATGTCAATTCCTATTTCATTTACATTTTACTTCCCTGAAAACTTAAGAGTGCTTTAAATGAGGCTACATCAACGAGTAAGGGCTCATTACCAAGACAGGGTAAGTCAGGGAGCCAGGAAGAAAGCCAAAGTTGATGGTTAGATGCCCTAAACGCAATTAAAACACACTGCCTTCATGATTTTAAGTGTTGTATAAACTAAAATTTAATCACCTTTAAATTTCCTAATTATCTTGGGAATTGAACAGTAAAACAATCTATCTTCCCAAGAATTTAGAGGTATGTCTTACTATTGCCTGGGGCCAAAATATTGAATGGTGATGTCAAAATAAACAATAAGAAACTAAAGGAGATTAGATAGGAGGAAATTTCCATGAAATAATTTAGGAGGAAATTTCCATGAAATTACTTTATCCAATAAAAAAAGCTCTGGCCCGCGCAGTGGCTCATGCCTGTAATCCCAGCACTTCGGGAGGCTGAAGTGGGCGGATTGTTTGAGGTCAGGAGTTCGAGACCAGCCTGGCCAACATACCGGAAACCCCGTCTCTACTAAAAATGCAAAAAGTAGCTGGACACGGTGGCGCAAGCCTGTAAACCTAGCTACTTGGGAGGCTGAGGCAGGAGAATTGCTTGAACCCAGGAGGCAGAGGTTGCAGTGAGCCAAGATCACACCACTACACTCCAGCCTGAGCAACAGAGCAAGACTCCATCTCAAAAATAAATAAAGCTTCATTTAAATTAATGATAGTTTAACTAATTCTCAATTTTCCTAGAGAAGGAGTCACCCTAGAGGTAATGGGCTGAGATTACACTATGACAGTTTTCCAACAGACCAAACAACCACAGAGTACAACCAGTAAGTAACATCAGACTGGTTGTCTGCGGTCTATCAGTTTGTTTAAAAATAACTAATCTCAGCCAGGCACGGTGGCTCATGCCTATAATCCCAGCACTTTGGGAGGCTGAGGCAGGCAGATCATGAGGTCAAAAGATTGAGACCATTCTGGCCAACATGGTGAAATCCCTTCTCTACTAAAAATACAAAAAATTAGCTGGGCGTGGTGACGTGCACCTGTACTCCCAGCTACTCAAGAGGCTGAGGCATAAGAATTGCTTGAACCCAGGAGGCAGAGGTTACAGTGAACCAAGATCATGTCACTACACTGCAGCCTGGGCAACAGAGCAAGAGTCTTGCAAAAAAAGGAAAGGGAAAGGGAAAGGGAAAGGGAAAGGGAAAGGGAAAGGGAGGGAGGGAGGGAGGGAGGGAGGGAGGAAGGAAGGAAGGAAGGAAGGAAGGAAGGAAGGAAGGAAGGAAGGAAGGAAGGAAGGAAAAAAAAGAAAATCCATTCTGCAGCTAGCTAAGGTGCCCACATGCCCTGAAAATAAGAGTACCTTGCCAGGTATGGTGGCTCACACCTGTAATCCCAGTACTTTGGGAGACCAAGGTGGGTGGATCACTTGAGGCCAGGAGTTCAAGACCAGCCTGGCCAACATGGTGAAACTCCATCTCTAAGAAAAATACAAAAATTAGCTAGGCGTGGTGGTGCACTCCTATAGCTACTCTGGAGGCTGAGGCACAAGAATTGTGTGAATCTGGGAGGCAGAAGTTGCAGTGAGCCAAGATTGCACCACTACACTCCAACCTGGGCAACAGAGCAAGACTTCTTCTCAAAAACAGAAAAGAGTATCCTAGTGAAACTGGTAAAAATAAAAGCAAGATATACTCAACAGGAAAGTATTTCAATAAACGGTGTTGGGATAGCTGGATATCCACATGCTAAAGAATGAAGCTGAATCTCTGTTTCACACTAGACACAACAATTAATTCAAACATACAGTTAGATAGAAGGAATATGTTCTAGTGTTCCATAGCACAACAGGGTGACTATAGTTAAGAATAGTTTATTGGCTGGGGGTGGTGGCTCACGCCTGTAATCCCAGCACTTTGGGAGGCCGAGGCGAGCAGATCACCTGAGGTTGGGAGTTCGAGACCAGCCTAACCAATATGGAGAAACCCCATCTCTACTACAAATACAAAATTAGCCAGGTGTGGTGGTGCATGCCTGTAATCCCAGCTACTCAGGAGGCTGAGGCAGGAGAATCGCTTGAACCTGGGAGGCACAGGTTGCAGTGAGCTGAGATCGCGCCACTGTACTCCAGCCTGGGGGACAAGAGCAAAACTTCGTCTCAAAAAAAAAAAAAAAGAATAATTTATTGTATATTTCAAAATAGCTAAAAGATTTGAAATGTTCCCAACACAAAGAAATGATAAGTGTTTGAGGTGATGGATACCTTAAACAACGTGATCATTACAATAATTTGATCATTACACATTGTGTGCATGTATCAAATATCAAATATCATACGTACCCCATAAATATGTACAATTATATATCAGTTTTAAAAATAAACCAGGCCGGGCGTGGTGGCTCAAGCCTGTAATCCCAGCACTTTGGGAGGCCAAGGCGGGTGGATCACGAGGTCAGGAGATCGAGACCATCCTGGCTAACATGGTGAAACCCCGTCTCTACTAAAAATACAAAAAACTAGCCGGGCATGGTGGCGGGCGCCTGTAGGCCCAGCTACTCGGAGGCTGAGGCAGGAGAATGGCGTAAACCTGGGAGGCGGAGCTTGCAGTGAGCTGAGATCGCGCCACTGCACTCCAGCCTGGGCGACACAGCGAGACTCCGTCTCAAAAATAAAATAAAATAAAATAAAAATAAAAATAAACCACAGAGGCTGAGCACAGGGCCTCACGCCTGTAATCCCAGCACTTTGGGAGGCAGAGGCAGGCGGATCATGAGGTTAGGAGTTTGAGACCAGCCTGACCAACATGGTATAACCCAGTCTACTAAAAATATAAAAATTAGCCAGGTGTGGTGGCACACGCCTGTAATCCCAGCTACTCAGGAGGCTGAGGCAGGAGAATTGCTTGAACCCAGGAGGCAGAGGTTGCAGTGAGCTGAGATCATGCCACTACACTCCAGCCTGGGGGACAGAGCAAGACTGCATCTCAGAAAAAAATAAATAAACCACAGAAAGTGTAAAAGCTAAAACTATAAAACTTGACCAGGCATGATGGCTCATGCCTATAATCCTAGCACTTTGGGAGGCAAAGGAAGGAGGATCACGAGGTCACAAGTTTGAGATCAGCCTGGGCAACACTGCAAGATCCCATCTCAAAATACAGGAAAAGAAAAAAGAAAAATTAGCCAAGTGTGGTGGTGCATGCCTGCAGTCTCAGGTACTTGGGAGGCTGACGTGGGAGAATCGCTTGAGCCCAGGAGGTCAAGACTTCAGTAAGCTATGACCGTATCACTGCACTCCAGCCTGGGTGACAGAGCAAGACCCTATCTCGAAAAAATAAAAAAATGAAAGGCCACCACACACACACACACACACACAAAACTCAACATAAAACTACAATGAGATACCACTTCACACCCACTAAAATGGCTCCAAATCACAGACAGACAATAACAAGTGTTGGTAAGAATGTGGAAAAACTGGCTGGGCACAGTGACTCAGGCCTGTAATCCCAGCACTTTTGGAGGCAGGCAGGCAGATTACTTGAGGTCAGGTGATCGAGACCAGCCTGGCCAATATGGCGAAACCCTGTCTCTACTAAAAATACAAAAAATAGCTGGGCGTGGTGGCGGGCACCTGTAATCCCAGCTTCTCGGGAGGCTGAGGTACAAGAATTGCTTGAACCCGGGAGGCGGAGATGGCAGTGAGCCAAGACTGTGCCACTGCACTCCAGCCTAGGCAACAGAGTGAGACTCTGTCTCAAGAAAAAAAAAAAAAGATTGTGGAAAAACCGTGCTTGCTTTGGCTGCTCATATAGTGAAAACTGGAATGATACAGAGAAGATTAGCATGGCCCCTGCACAAGAACGACACATAAACTCGTGAAGATTTCATATTAAAACTGAAAAAAAGTGAAAACACGGAAAGCTTCATACACTGCTAGTGGGAATGTAAAATGGTTCAGCCTTTTGGAAGACAGTCTGACAGTTCCTTAAAATGTTAAACAGAGTTACAGTATGACCCAGCAATTCTATTCTTAGATATATAACCAAGAGAAATGAGAACATGTGCACACAAAAACTTGTTTGGAGATATCCAGAATAGCCTTATTTATAATAGGCAAAAAGTGGAGACAACCCAAATGTCCGTCAACTGACGAACGGATAAACAAAATGTGGTATACCCATATAATAAAATGTTATTTGGCGATAAAAAGGAATGAAGTACTGGCACATTTATAACATGGGTGAACTTTATGCTAAGTCAAAGCAGCCAGACGCAAAAGACCACATACTGTATGATTCCATTTATAAGATCTAAAAATCATTTGTATACTTTACCTATGTGTATATTTATGGTATGTGAATTTTATCTTAATAGAGCTGTTTAAAATCTATATAGGAGAAGAATAGCCACATGTAAATGATCTGGAGATGTAGAATCTTTAAACATTAAATTAAAAGATTATAGTATCAGGAAAACATGACAGATATGAAACAAACAGTAACCAGATCAATAATACTGTAAACTAGATGATAAAAGAATGAGTTGGCTGGGCACTGTGGCTCACGCCTATAATCCCAGCACTTTGGGAGGCTGAGGCAGGCAGATCACAAGGTCAAGAGATCAAGATCATCCTGGCCAACATGGCGAAACCCCATCTCTACTAAATACACAAAAATTAGCTGGGCGTGGTGGCGTGCGCCTTAGTCCCAGCTACTCAGGAGGCTGAGGCAGGAGGATCGCTTGAACCCAGGAGGCGGAGGTTGCAGTGAGCCGAGATGGCGCCACTGTACTTCAGCCTGGTGGCAGAGGGAGACTCTGTCTCCAGAAAAAAAAAAAAAAAAAGGAATGAGTTAAGGGAAGGGAAAGAACAAGATCTACCCTGTGTCTCTAGCACTAAGGCAGGGAGAATGTCCTGGGCACATGCAACTCTCCTTCCTTGGGTAGGTATATCCCTTCAGAAGAGGCGAATTAATCATACTATCATATTTTAATGTGTCACTATAAATATCATTTTACAAATCTACCTGCTTTGATTTCTAATATACCAAGCCACGTTCTGATTGCAAACTTCCTACAGATATTTCTACTGGGAATGTAAAGACCAGCTAATTCTCGAATATGGTTTACTAGAAAGTAATTCTCAGATTCAGATTCATCACTTATGAGACGGGCTAATATGAACCGATCCTCAGGAGACAGATTAACTTTGGTTGTTTTTAGCTGTTTTGTTTTTGTTTTTGTTTTTGTTTTTGAGACGGAGTCTCGCTCTGTCGCCCAGGCTGGAGTGCAGTGGCCAGATCTCGGCTCATTGCAAGCTCCGCCTCCCGGGTTCACGCCATTCTCCTGCCTCAGCCTCCCGAGTAGCTGGGACTACAGGCGCCGCCACCTCGCCCAGCTAATTTTTTTGTATTTTTTAGTAGAGACGGGGTTTCACCGTGTTAGCCAGGATGGTCTCGATCTCCTGACCTCGTGATCCGCCCGCCTTGGCCTCCCAAAGTGCTGGGATTACAGGCTTGAGCCACCGTGCCCAGCCGTTTTTAGCTGTTTCTTATCCTATGAAGCTCACGACCAGTGACACTCAACCAAAGGGACACTGCCATAGCAGAATTCCTGAGTCTAATCTAATGTACATCTGGGCAGGGCTTCCCGAGCCTCTCCCACCTCCATTGAGGGTAACTGCTAGGACGTGCCACCATCACTGATGGGTGTGCACCGTATCCCTTGGGCAGGTTGGCCTACTCTGGACTGTGAGGCTCCCACCAAGATACTGCCTGCCTGGGATGCCTGGGCTGAGTTGTAGCCTGCGCTTCCTCAATATGCTCCCATCTTGGCTCTAACTTAGACACTCTGAAGATTCTTTCTAACATTCTATTCTTTTATCCAGTCTAACTTCACTCTACAGATGAAATGACTGAGGCCAACTGCCTTTAAGAACTTTACCTAAAATCACACAGCTGAATAATGGCAGAGCCAGAACTAGAACCAAAGCCTTCTGATTCCCAGCCCAATGTTTTCTTCGTTATGTGGTGCTGCCTTTGTTGTTTTCTTCGTTATGTGGTGCTGCCTTTGTTGTT